TCTTTCCCAGTGATTCTCTCATAGTGGCATAGTGTTCTGCTTCCCACAATTCCTCTTTTCATTAAGATTTATTTAATTCTGTGGTCAGTGAATACCAAGACCAATTACCTGTTTGTCGCACAGAATTATTGAAAATGTGGGTTTGTCACATCTCTAGTGAAATAGGTTCTGGATACCTTTTGCTGAGAAGGCAAAATTTCTTGTGTAAGTGTAATTGCTGGCTATTAAATGTGCTTCCTGCCAGCTGGAGGTGGCCTTCACAGCAATTTGTCTGTGGGTAATAGGATATGCTGTAGCTGAAGAATAAAACTCAATTTATAGTAATATAAAAGGAAGACCACTTAATAATAGTTGCATTACACTTATGTGAGCTGGGGTTTCACTGTTACTGCAATCTAGGATTTAGTTACAATTTGAGTTGAAGAATTGCGTGCAACTTAGTGGATAAAAGACACAAGCTGGATGCAATTACAAACACTGTGTATTTGTTACAGAACAGGAGCTGAGCACCTAAGTTTTGAACATGCTGGTTTCATCAGCACCAATAAAATTGTTTTCAAGATGCAAGCAGTGGTGTTGCTTCCTTTTCGAAATGGAAAAGATTTTTCTAGTGTTCTTTGATTGCCGTGCAGTTTCTCTTGAGCTTTTTTTCTTCATCTTTTCCTTTGTCATCATTACACTTTGACTTAGATTTCTTTCTTTGAGACAAAACAAACTTCAGTGCTGTAGACCACAGGGCTTCAGCGAATTTCAGGGTCATGCTTCCTGCCTGAAAGCATCTCCTTTATTCTTGGTTTACACCTTTCTGCATTAGTGTAGTACATTTTTGTGGCGAGCTATTTCCTATCAATTAGTCTTGAAGTCAGTTTGCTTCACAGCTTCCGTTATACTGTGCTGATGTTTAAAAATAACTTAGTCAGCTCCTACGTTCTGCCTGTGAGAACAGACGAATGCTTCTACCTCTCCTGTGTGAAATGGCATTAAAGCAAATACTTTAATTTTAAGAACGTGTATGTAACTAAATATTCCTCCTTCAGATGGTGCTTAGCAGACCACTTTCATATAAGTAAAACTATAGATATTTACCACCTCACTTAAATTCGGAGTTGCTTGTTTTTTAGAAATTTAGGCAGCAGCTTCTCATACAAAGCTATGCTTGAAACTGAGCTCTTCTTGTAGATGGTATAAAACCCAGAATTGGCTCCTGGTCTTGTACCCTTCATTTTTCATGACAGGGCTGAGAACTCATCAGAATGTAGAGCCCTTCCAGAAGCCCATGCTGATG